CACACACACACACACACACACACACACACTTAAAATATGCATATTATTTACACAATAAATAATGTTTGATCACTCCTTTGCAGTTGTGTGGGAATATAGAATTTATTCTATTCCAAATAATTACATGTATTATCCAAAATAAGCATAATAAATAACCAATAATCATAATACAAAACAATGCTTGAAAATAAATCCTATTATGAAATGACAAATATTATAAATATTAGTCAAATTATTAAACAATGCTTCTGCAGGAACTTCAAAAACAGCTCAATCAATAAGATTTTATGTTTTATAATGTGTGTTTTTTTATGGAAGCTTGTTTCCGCCATTGAAAAACAAGGTAATTGCAACTTTTTATATCACAGTTCTGACTAAAAACTCACAGTTCTGAGTAACAATTGTGACATAAATTCAGACTTGCCTGAAAAAGTCAGAATAAACTGAGATTCACAAGAAAAAAAAGTGTTAATTGTGAGATTTAAATGCAGATTTGCAAGAAAAAAAATGTGAATTTTGAGATATAAACTGACAATTACAATAAAAAAAAAAACGGTCTAAATTGCGAGATATAAACTGAGATTCACGAGGAAAAGTCTTAGTTTGTGAGATATAAACTCACATTTGTGAGAAAAAAGTCTGAATTATGTCATAAATTTGAATTGTGAGGAAAAATGTCTGAATTGCAAGATATAAACTCAGAATTGCAAGAAAAAAACACAAATTTTTATATAAACAGGTCTATGGGGAAAAAAAGTTCAAATTGTGATATGTACAGTAGCTCAGAATTGCGAGAAAAAAAGCACAAATAGTGAGAAATAAACTCAGAACTGCAAGAAAAAATTCAGAATTTTGAGATTAAAAAAAGCAACCTTTTTTTAAAAAGTGTTTATCTCATGGCAGAAATAAGCTTCCATAGCTTTGGCACGTACCCGTGTGTATAAACTATAGGACGGTTCTCCAGGATGGGGCGGATCAGCCATGACATCCAGAGTGATCTGACCAATCACAGGAGGGCACAGATCTCCCGTCAGAAGAACCTCAGCGTATAACATTACAGCTTCATCAACGTTCACCAGCTCCATATACCCCGTCCTGAAACCACACCTGCGTCAGACACACACACTGAATGAGCAGACCTACTTTGTTGAGCAGCAAATCAGCATATTATACTGATTTCTGAAGATCACGTGACACTGAAGACTCGAGTAATGATGCTGAAAATACAGCTGTGCATCACAGAAATAAATTACATTTTAACAGATATTCACATAGAAAACAGCTATTTGAAATTGTAATATTATGTAAGTCTTTTTGACCAAAAAATGCACCCTTGGCGAGCAGAAGAGACTTCTTTGATGTTCATTTCTCATGTTCATTTGGTTTTATCATCCCTGACATAAGGAAAATTGATTTGAAAACGAACTCTCCCATGATGCCGTTGGAGAGCGAATGCAGCGAGGCCAGCTGGACTCCATCAGAATAAGGTTCGCCCATCTCAGCCAGAACACGCTTATAAGACACGAACTCTGAGCCGTCCGCAAAAACTGTGTCCTGATAAACCTGAGATAGAGAAAATATAATTATTACTAAATAAAAAACATGACCAAATAATCAATTCAAATAATGAAGATTACATCCAAAACACTTTCCTCATCAACCAACAAGAAAAGCTCCTCATCTGCAGCGAAGCGAATCACATGCTGAATGGACTCTCTGCTCTGAACATGACCTGCAAAACCCACATATTTATACGACAATTTATCATTTCATAACAAAAACAACCACAGTATTAGCATAGCTCTTCATTACTATGCTGAGTATCATGTACTTCACTTCTGGTAGCACAGAATATCATTAAAATCTTAACACTTCAAACCTTTAATCAAAAGATTAGCAATTAATAACTCAATTTTAGATGGCTAATGAATCTCTGTTCTGTGTGCATATCTCTATTAGGGCTGAGCAACACAGATAAAACATTGCTCTCAAAATATTTCAGCTTTTTGACAATATTAGGTATATCATTTATATATTTACTCTAAAAGTTAAAACAGCCATTGTTGACTTCAAATATTTAATTAAAATAATAATATAATATATTAATCTTTTTTAACACATTTACTCTAGAGTTTTGATTCAAGACTTCTTTGAAATGGACAATTTTGATTTTACATGTCACCGTTCTGATTTTATATTCTTGTAATTTATTTATTTTGTAATTTATTTAATTCGTTTTTTTATTTTTTGAGATTTTTATGTCAGAAAAAAAAACTTTATTGTGAGATATAAAAAGTCAGTGTATACGTGAGTGTATATTCAAGCAAAAAAAAAATTTAATTTCAAAATATATTTTAAAAAGTTCACTGTGACTTTTTCCTCACAATTCTGAGTGTATATATTCAAATTGCAAGTAAAAAAAAGTCTGAATTGTGAGATAAAATGTCACAATCACCTACATTTTTTTTATCCTGTGGCAGAAACAAGCTTCCATATTTATCACTGTTTTTGCTCCTGAAATTTTAATCAGTGACGCTGTCAAAACATCTTAATACAAGTTATCAAAAGAATAGTAAAATTTTTCAAACGAGCTGCTCAGATGAAAGGTGTATTAACATCATCACAATTTTCAATGTGCTGCTTCATATTAAATCACCAGCAAAATCATTATGAATATATTGTTTATATATAGTCCCATACCTGTGGGGTTGCCAGGGTTACTGATGTAAATCGCCCGTGGAAAGCACCGCCCTCTCGACGCCTGAATGGATCTGTTTAGCGCCGCCCTCTCAAAGCTCCACCCACTCTGCTCTCGCAGCTGATAGGTCACTGGAACCACACCCATCCTATCCAGGAGGCGTGTCAGAGTGTGAGGGGCGGGGTCTGGGATCATGACCGCACACACACCCTCTGATTGACAGAGCAGCCGTAGCATCACCTGCATCCAGGTAAGTAATGATATGAGCTTGATGAACTTTATCATTGATCAAGGCCATCAGCAGCAGATCTTTATTCCACATTATAAAGAAGGTTTTATGAATTGAAACATTCTCTAATCACTCACAGCTGTAGTTATAAATATGAAGAAATGATTTTGGCTGGTACCATCAAAGCTCTCTGCGTGTCAACAGTGATGAAGACTTGCTCTGGACTGGACTGGACACCTCCATCCCGCAGAGAAACGGACTTTGCTATAGTGTTTCTCACATGCATTGATCCACAGGTCTCAGTGTATGAACCTGGAAGGAGAAGTGACCAGACAGCCAATCAGATCGTGAGTCTCACAGGTCACATGACAGTTTTACCAAAGCCACAGACATTGCAGTACACATTGAAATGGAGAAATGTAATTTTTACATCAATAATAATAATAATAAATTATATGTATTTATGCATATATGTGTATATATACACACACACAGTGCCTTGCAAAAGTATTCAAACCCCCTTTATTGTTTTCACATTTGTTATGTTGCAGCCTTATGTTAAACTGCTTTAAATAACTTTTTTTCCACATCAATCTACACTCCATACCCCATAATGACCAAAGCAAATAACAGGTTTTTAACATCTTTGCAAATTTATTAAAGATAAAAAAAACCGATAAATTACGATTTTATATACTGTATATATTTTATTTCATATATACATATACAGTAGGCTATATATAATATGCAATATATAGCTAGTATAGTACTCAAAATATTTTTATATTATACACTACATTATATATAAATTAAATTTAAAACACATTAACATTAAAATAAAACACAATATTGTATATATTATACAATTATTATTATTATTATTACATATTTTATGTATTTACATATATATCATACCTCCATATAGGCTGGACAAATCTCACAAAATATAAATAAAAATGTAATATATGCACTGATAATTTTCCACAAACACACAGAATCTTTACCGACACTGCCTCCATCAAAGTGACTGAGGAGTTTCTGAGCTCTGAGACGAGCGTCAGGAGGAAGAGCATCGCCCTGCAGGATTCTGGGATACACACATCCAGCTGCCACCTGACAGACACAAGTCAACATATTATATTGTTACATATTGACGAAAGATTATGAGGAGAAACACTGTGTTCATTATATTAACGCGCACTGATGAATCATTCACAATTAGCAGCAATGTGCATTGAAGTCAATAGAGTTGGTTTTGTGCAGACGTTCTGTTCCACAAAACCAGAGTGCAGGTCACATTCTGTGCTCTTCTGTAATTCAGTCAGTGATCATCTATGCTCAATATATCACTTATTTAAGCAACAATTAACAACTTGCCTGACCTGTCTCACAAAGGTTATTGGCTTGATTCCAGCGCTGTGAGGGTCTTCAGAACTCAAATCCAGAACCTTGCTGAAGGACCCGCTCATATTCAGCCCCTGCTAAAGGAGCAATGTGATGTTAAAGGGATAGTTCACCCAAAAATGAAAAGTTGATGTTTATCTGCTTACCCCCAGGGCATCCAAGATGTAGGTGACTTTGTTTCTTCAGTAGAACACAAACGGAGATTTTTAACTCAAACCGTTGCAGTCTATCAGTCGTATAATGGAGGTGGATGGGAATCACGGCTTTGAGAGTCAAAAAAACATACACTAACAAAACCAAATTAAACCCTGCGGCTTGTGATGATACATTGATGTGTAAAGACACGAAACGATCGGTCTGTGCAAGAAACTGAACAGTATTTATATAGTTTTTTACCTCTGATTCACTGCAATGACTGAACTGTTCTGAGCGCGTTCTCAACAGCCGGCATGTGATGCGTCTTCTTCTTCTTCTTGCTTTATGGCGGATCGCAGACTTATAAGTGCATTACCGCCACCTATCTCTCAAATGGACCATTGACACTCTATCTACAATCTCAATTAGGAGTGTCACTGGTCCATTTGAGAGATAATGCTGTTGAGAACGCGCTCAGGACAGTTCAGACATTGCGTGAATCAGAGGTAAAAAACGATATAAATACTGTTCAGTTTCTTGCACAGATCGATCTTTTCGTGTCTTCACGAGCCGCAGGGTTTAATTTGGTTTTGTTTGTGTATGTTTTTTTGACTCCCAAAGCCGTGATTCCCATTCACTTCCATTATATGACTGACAGATTGCAACGGTTTGAGTTAAAAATCTTCGTTTGTGTTCTACTGAAGAAACAAAGTCACCTACATCTTGGATGCCCTGGGGGTAAGCAGATAAACATCACATTTTCATTTTTGGGTGAACTATCCCTTTAAGTGAGTCATTTACACTGGAACCGTTTCGATTGATTCAAACTCGTGACTTCGATCATTCAGTTCAAGTGATTCACTTGCAAAAAAACGATCAAAAGAGCAATTCATTTTCGAGTTTCGACATCGCTTTTAATGATTTTAAAGAACACGTATAGTGATGGGTGAAACTCAGAATCAGTTAAATCATTGCGTTGCAAAATGATAACGAATCGGATCGTGTATAGCGAAACATTTCATTTAGATTGGAACTTCAGAGTAGGTTCGTGAATCTTTTGATTCAGATCGGCACTACGGAGCGCGTATCACGAATCATTTGATTCAGACAGTAACACATTGACTATACACATAATACACATTCACAACTTTGAAAAAATCATTTTTACAGTGTGGATGACAACTATTGACTCATTTGTGTGTAATTTTACTAAATAAAGTTAATAAATAAAATAAAAAACATTATTATTATTAGTATAAATATATAGTTTTAATGTTAAAATCATCATCATCATTATTAGGCTAACTTATTATTAATTGGATTTTAGGATGAACATCTAAAAGTTGATACTGAAATGAACTCGAAGTCATCAGAAGTATAAAATAATAATATCTGTGTGCATTTCAGCCTTGATATGTCATAATCCATACAGTATGTAACAAACACCCATATGTACATAACTAATATTAAATGAAGAAACGTCAATATTTAAATACAAAATAATTAGATTACACAGAGATAAAAAAAGACAATTTTAAGACGTTTTACTGTAAATGCACAATAGAAACAATTAAAATTGAGTCACATTTTATTTTCACATCCAATTCTCAGCATTAACTATTAACTCTGACTTTTGCCTCAATATACTGCTAATTACTGCTTAATAGTTTAGGTATAGGGTATAGGATTAAGGAATCTAAAATATGCTCATGCAGAATAAGGCATTAATAAGTACTTTATAAGTACTAATAAACAGTTAATATGCATGCTTATAAGCAGCTAGTTAATAGAGAGAATTGGTGCCTAAAGAATTAACTCAAATTGTTGTATTAAAGATTTTTTACAATATTTCACATTACAATTTCATTGCATCTAAAGGAGATTTTTACTGTATCTTTAAATCACAATAACGTGTTTATATGACTATTTAGTGTGTATTATTTTACCTGCTCTTCCTCGGCTGATGGTCGTCTGGTTTTCTTCAGATCAGACATGTCTTTAGACGTCTTCCGGTCGGCAAACAGCTCAGTGTCTCTCCTCTCATGCAATATATGGCAGAGTTCAGTCCCTGTAACTCTCAGTCATGTTTCATACAGCAGTATAAGCAGCACACGTTTATTCAGCACATTCACACGGCACTGTGAGCAGAAGTGATGCACCGTTTTTATCTTCCTTTAGTAGTTTCAGATTACCTGGATTTACTCAGTTAAACATTTGCACAGCAGTTCAAAGAGGATCACACAATCATGTAAATAAGTCACATAAAAATAGCTTTATTAGTCTGTAAAAATGCACATGCACAATGTGCAAAAGCCAATATACACAATCTTATTATATCTGAGCGAGCGTGTCTGTGTGTTTGGCTCCCTATTAAGTGGGAGGTTTACTGTAGACTTGATGGTGTTCATCTTGTTTTGTCGGGACACTGGATTTTGTAGCTCTCACGGTGCTTTGGTGTCATACAACGATCGGTCTGCGCGCTGCTGTTTCAAATCGAACCAAGAAAGGGACTTTGGTCGAACACACTTATGGTCTCACTCCAGTCTATGAGCTTGCCCCCCCCAAAAAAAATACTCTTCGGATCTAGACGATTCACATAAATGACATATTTTGATTCAAAACGGCGAATTTCGCTGAAAAGCGACTAGTTTGCAGGTATGAAATATACAGGTAGATGTCATGCTAATAAAGTGCATGAAATGAAATCAAAATAAAACCAATTAAATCCAACGGAAGTGCAGAATTAAGTTAAAATGAATCTAAGTGACTGAAGTGAACTGATTTGTACTAAATTGAACTGAATGGAACTAAACTGAATTAATATGAACTGTAGCTGAACTGGAATGAATTAAATTTCAACCTAACTAAAGTGTACTGAATTGAACCTAAGTGGAACTACACTGAATTAACCTAAATGGAATTAAATTCAACTTAAGTGCATCAAAAATGAATTAAACCAAGTTTATTTGCCTAAACAGAAATCAACTGCATTATGCTGAATTTAGTTGCACGTTGAATTAAAACTAAAAGGAACTAAACTGAATTAAGATTAACTTTAATCCAGAATAAAGTAAAGTAAACTGAATTCAACCTACTGGAACCAAATTGAATTCAATTTCAACTGAATTGAACTGTGAAAGTCCAAAACTGAAGTGCGTTGAACTGAATTAATAGAACTGAATTAAACCGAATCTAACTGCAACAAGTGAAATGAACTGCATAGTACTGAATTTAATTCTGTACTAATTTTTAAAAACAGAATATTTAAAAACAAAATCACATTCAAAATATTAACAAAAATAATTATAGTATATCAATGATACTAAAATAACACTAACTATAGCTTAACTGAAATAATGTAAACTGAACTGAATTCTACCGGAACAGAACTGAATTGCATTAAACCAAGTAAAAAAACAAAAACAATTTGCATTAGAAATCACATTAAAAGGCTGAAATTCTGAAGAAAAAAACTTTGTAAAAATATTCATTATCAAAAAATGCAGTAATAAAAAATACTTTAAAAATAAACAAAAAATGATTAAAGGAGTCATATGACGATGTTAAAAATAACATTATTTTGTGTATTTGGTGTCATGCCTTTATGTGGTTTAAGGCTCAAAAAACACATTATTTTCCACATACTGTACATTATTGTTTTTCCTCTATGCCCCGCCTTTCTGAAACGCGTCGATTTTTACAAAGCTCATCGGTCTGAAAAGTGCGGTGTGCTCTGATTGGCCAGCTATCCAGAGCGTTGTGATTGGCTGAATACCTCAAGCGTGTGATGGAAATGTTACATCCCTTACCATATTTGGAAACACACAGCGTCTCCACGACAACAATACTACAGCGAGAATAAAAGTTACTTTTAGTAACTAAGTGACTGCGTACCCAGCTCTGCAGACGCAGATGTACGTCCCTGGCTGATTCATGCAGTCGTGTTCACAGAGTCTGTTATCCTGAGTGCATTCATCCACATCTGAGCAAAGCACAGTCACGAGCTTCATCATCATCATCAGAACATCACTCAGACTGCATGGATGCGGATCTCAGACTGACCGTAGCAGGAGTGTCCGTCTCTGCTGTATCCCTGACGACACTGGCAGAAGTACGAGCCGATGATGTTCCCACAGCGAGCGTTAACATCACAACCGTGACCCCAGGTCAAACACTCCTTTATATCTGTGTGGATACATCAATAATCAGATTTAGAGTTAGTTTAGTATCCTTGAGATACCATTACAGTTTTTATTAATAGTTTGGATTCGTTTTTTATTTTCCTTTTCGTAAAAAAACAATTGTAATTTTTAGTAGCTTTTGTTTGAAGTTGTCAGTTTGAAGTTGTCATGAAATTGTGCATAAAAATAAATTAAATTAATACACTATTTGGGAGGTAAAAGTTGTAAAAAATAACAATATATGCATGCAAAAGGGGTGAGATCCACCCTGAATCTAACCTGGCCTGTGGTCTGCTGTGAGTCGCTGTATTTCAGAAGTTCATTCTCTTCTTGTTCAGCGCTGAGAGTCACAAACAACATGAGAAACACTGACAGAAACCGCCTGACTGACAGACACCCTGCAGAGGAACATCATGAGACACCAGAACCATCAAACATCTGAACAAATGCAGCAGAGGAACCAATAAAACACAAAGAGCTCCATAACACTGCTGCAGGTTTGGGGTTCGAGCTGGTGTCAAGCCCAGACATGAAGCAGACAGACATCATCCTTCTCTAACAACACACACTTTCTCATACACAACCTCAAGACATTACATAGCCTATGTATATTTGTCATGCTGCTGGATGCTGGACTTCTAAACGACTCTTTTGACTGACTCGGGAATCACGACTCCCGAATGAATCCTGAAGGAGTTGCTTAGAAGCGAGTCCCGCGCCGTGTTCCGTTTAAACAATAATGTAGTTTTGGCATTAACACTGCTATGTTAAGGCATAAAAACGCAATGCACATTTCTTAATGACTGAGTTAAGAGATTTTTTTCTTTTTTACCGATTCATTCAGTTGAATCGAGACGCGAGAGTCACTCCCGCGGAGTGAAATTGATTCCACATCCTGCAGTTTAACTCTTTCCTGTCCATTCATGGACAAAATCGGTACAACATACTTTTATATTGTACAGCAATAACAAAAGTATTATAATGTGCTGATGTAAAAGGAGATTACAAGAAAGAAAGAATAATCCTAAATCCAATCTAATATCTGAATCTGAATATCAATTTAACTGAATTTCTAAACATCTATTAAATATATATCTGAATATCTAACCATCAAATGCGTATTTGATGATCTATCCATCTACCTGAATATCTATATCTTTAATATCCATCCACCTGAGAGCTTCTCACAGAAGGAAACGGATTAATTTCCAAGCAGCTATAACAAATTCTGTATTAAAATTTGACAAGAAGCATGCAAAGATCTAAATGACACATTAACAGCGGTTCTGCCTCCGGTGTGGCTCGCCAAAAACACCAGCAATGGATCACAAACACACAAAAGCGCTCTTAAACCGTGTCAATGTCGACTGTAATTCTCCTCTTAATCATCAACATGTTTAAAGAGATGTGGCGGTGACTATAAAAGACAGAGACCAAGGCAAACAAATACATTTGAGCTCTTTTATTAACTGATATTCATCCAGCTGCATGTGAGTGTTTATGTGTGTTTATGTGTGTGTGTGTTAGATCTTGTTGAACGCCGCAACATCCACACTCTGAACCTGCAACACAAAACAAACACGTCAAGCTTTGGGTGACACTTGAAGACTAAAGCACGCAGTTTATGGAGACGTTACTCACATAGTCCTCAAACTTGGTGATCTCCTCCTCCAGGAAGTCTGTTCCCACCTTGTCGTCCTCCACCACGCAGTTGATCTGCAGTTTCTTGATGCCGTAACCCACAGGAACCAGTTTGGAGGCTCCCCACAGTAACCCATCCACCTGCACCGACCGCACACACTCCTCCAGCTTCGCCATGTCCGTCTCGTCGTCCCACTGTGAACGCCAGGAAAAAAACGGTTTAAAAACCTTGAGAAGCCTGGCCAGAAAGATCGAAGTCATTTTAAAAGGTTTTAAGGTAATTCAGTCTATCGGACAAATGGATAGACTTTCATGCGGTTGCTAGGGTATTACGAATTAATGCTTAGTGGTTCCTAGGGTGTTCTATGCGATTGCAAAGGTGCTGTTATGATGTTCTGGGTGGTTGCTAGGTTGTTCTAAATGGTTGCTAGGCAATTTCTAAGGCGTTCTGGGTGGTTGTTAGGGCACTGCTAGAGGTTTTGGTTGGTTGCTAGGGTATTCTGGAAGGTGTTTTATGTGGTTGCTATGTGTTACTGGGGTGTTCTGACGGTTGCTAGGTGGTTGCTATGGAGCTCTAGATGGATGCTAGGCAGTTTCTAGGTGGTTGCTAGGTTAGTTGAAGTAATAAAGTAATTGAAATAAAGCTGAAGTAAAACTTTCACTTCAATGAAAATTTAAAATAAGTTAAAATTGAAGTAAAAATAAAGTAGTTAACAAATTATTAAGAACTAAAACTGAAAAAATATTAAACTAAATGAAAATAAAAGATCAAACTAAAACTACAAATTGAAAATACTAATAAATGCTAAATAATATTAATAAATACCAAATTATTGGTGCTGAAATAACACTGATTGCTTTTGGGTTACATGGTTGCTAGGGTGTTCCAGGTAGCTGTTAGGTTGCTTCTCTGTAGTTGCTATGCGGTTTCTAGAGTGTTTCAGGTAGCTGTTAGATTGTTTCTCAGAAGTTGTTATGCGGTTGCTAGGGTGTTCCAGGTAGCTGTTAGGTTGTTTCTATGTGGTTGCTAAGCGGTTGCTAGGGTGTTCCAGGTAGCTGTTAGGTTGTATCTATGTGGTTGCTAAGCGGTTCCTAAGGTGTTCCAGGTAGCTGTTAGGTTATTTCTATGTGGTTGCTAAGTGGTTGCTAGGGTGTTCCAGGTAGCTGTTAGGTTATTTCTATGTGGATGCTAAGTGGTTGCTAGGGTGTTCCAGGCAGCTGTTAGGTTGTTTCTCTTTAGTTGCTATGTGGTTGCTAGGCTGTTTCAGGTAGCTGTTAGATTATTTCTCTGTAGTTGCTATGCGGTTGCTAGGGGGTTCCAGGTAGCTGTTAGGTTATTTCTATGTGGATGCTAAGTGGTTGCTAGGGTGTTCCAGGCAGCTGTTAGGTTGTTTCTCTTTAGTTGCTATGTGGTTGCTAGGCTGTTTCAGGTAGCTGTTAGATTATTTCTCTGTAGTTGCTATGCGGTTGCTAGGGGGTTCCAGGTAGCTGTTAGGTTATTTCTATGTGGATGCTAAGTGGTTGCTAGGGTGTTCCAGGCAGCTGTTAGGTTGTTTCTCTTTAGTTGCTATGTGGTTGCTAGGCTGTTTCAGGTAGCTGTTAGATTATTTCTCTGTAGTTGCTATGCGGTTGCTAGGGGGTTCCAGGTAGCTGTTAGGTTATTTCTATGTGGATGCTAAGTGGTTGCTAGGGTGTTCCAGGCAGCTGTTAGGTTGTTTCTCTTTAGTTGCTATGTGGTTGCTAGGCTGTTTCAGGTAGCTGTTAGATTATTTCTCTGTAGTTGCTATGCGGTTGCTAGGGGGTTCCAGGTAGCTGTTAGGTTATTTCTATGTGGTTGCTATGCGGTTGCTAGAGTGTTTCAGGTAGCTGTTAGATTGTTTCTCAGTAGTTGTTATGCGCTTGCTAGGGTGTTCCAGGTAGCTGTTAGGTTGTTTCTCTTTAGTTGCTATGTGGTTGCTAGGCTGTTTCAGGTAGCTGTTAGATTGTTTCTCTGTAGTTGTTATGCGGTTGCTAGGGTGCTCCAGGTAGCTGTTAGATTATTTCTCTGTAGTTGCTATGCGGTTGCTAGGGTGTTCCAGGTAGCTGTTAGGTTGTTTCTATGTGGTTGCTAAGCGGTTGCTAGGGTGCTCCAGGTAGCTGTTAAGTTGTTTCAATGTCGTTGCTAAACGGTTGCTAGAGTGTTTCAGGTAGCTGTTAGGTTGTTTTTATGTGGTTGCTAAGTGGTTGCTAGGGTGTTCCAGGTAGCTGTTAGGTTATTTCTATGTGGTTGCTAAACGGTTGCTAGTCTGTTTCAGGTAGCTGTTAGATTGTTTCTCTGTAGTTGCTATGCGGTTGCTAGGGTGTTCCAGGTAGCTGTTAGGTTATTTCTATGTGGTTGCTAAACGGTTGCTAGTCTGTTTCAGGTAGCTGTTAGATTGTTTCTCTGTAGTTGCTATGCGGTTGCTAGGGTGTTCCAGGTAGCTGTTAGGTTATTTCTATGTGGTTGCTAAACGGTTGCTAGTCTGTTTCAGGTAGCTGTTAGATTGTTTCTCTGTAGTTGCTATGCGGTTGCTAGGGTGTTCCAGGTAGCTGTTAGGTTATTTCTATGTGGTTGCTAAACGGTTGCTAGTCTGTTTCAGGTAGCTGTTAGATTGTTTCTCTGTAGTTGCTATGCGGTTGCTAGGGTGTTCCAGGTAGCTGTTAGGTTGTTTCTATGTGGTTGCTAAACGGTTGCTAGGGTGTTTCAGGTAGCTGTTAAGTTATTTCTATGTGGTTGCTAAATGGTTGCTAGGGTGTTTCAGGTAGCTGTTAGATTGTTTCTCTGTAGTTGCTATGCGGTTGCTAGAGTGTTCCAGGTAGCTGTTAGGTTGTTTCTCAGTAGTTGTTATGCGGTTGCTAGGGTGTTTCAGGTAGCTGTTAGATTGCTTCTTTGTAGTTGCTATGCGGTTTCTAGAGTGTTTCAGGTAGCTGTTAGATTGTTTCTCAGAAGTTGTTATGCAGTTGCAAGGGTGTTCCCGGTAGCTGTTAGGTTGTTTCTCTTTAGTTGCTATGCGGTTGCTAGGGTGTTTCAGGTAGCTGTTAGGCTGTTTTTCTGTAGTTGCTATGCGGTTGCTAGGGTGTTCAAGGTAGCTGTTAGATTGTTTCTCTGTAGTTGTTATGCGGTTGGTAGGGTGTTCCAGGTAGCTGTTAGGTTGTTTCTCTTTAGTTGTTATGTGGTTACTTGGGTGTTCAAGGTAGCTGTTAGATTGTTTCTCTGTAGTTATGCGGTTGCTAGGGTGTTCCATGTTAGATTGTTTCTCTGTAGTTATACGGTTGCTAGGGTGTTCCAGGTAGCTGTTAGATTGCTTCTCTGTAGCTGCTACGCGGTTGCTAGGGTGTTTCAGGTAGCTATTAGAATATTTCTCTGTAGTTGCTATGCGGTTGCTAGGTTGTTCAAGTTAGCTGTTAGATTTTTTCTCTGTAGTTATTATGCGGTTGCTAGGGTGTTCCAGGTAGCTGTTAGATTGCTTCTCTGTAGTTGTTATGCGGTTGCTAGGGTGTTCCAAGTAGCTATTAGGTTGTTTCTATGTGGTTGCTAAGCGGTTGCTAGGGTGTTCCAGGTAGCTGTTAGGTTATTTCTATGTGGTTGCTAAACGGTTGCTAGGCTGTTTCAGGTAGCTGTTAGATTGTTTCTCAGAAGTTGTTATGCAGTTGCAAGGGTGTTCCCGGTAGCTGTTAGGTTGTTTCTGTTCGATTATTTCTCTGTAGTTGCTATGCGGTTGCTAGAGCGTTCCAGATAGCTGTTAGGTTGTTTCTATATGGATGCTATGCAGTTACTAGTGTATTTAGGATGGTTTCCTGATTATTTGGGGGAAAAAGACAATTCAACAAACACGAAACAAAACAAAACAAAAAACACGACATGTGAATTCCCTGCTGCAGACACTTACCGGTTTGACGTCTAACAGGATGGATGATTTAGCGATGAGGGCGGGTTTTTTGGCCTTTTTGGCAGCGTATTCCTGCAGCCGCTGCTCTTTCAGTCTCTCGGCCTCCTCGTCCACCTCTTCATCGCTGCCGAACAGATCAATGTCGTCCTCATCCTCATCTTCCTCCTCCTGTTTCGCCGGAGCGGGCGGGGCTTT